GACTTTAATCATTGACACGCCGAAGTGCGCGCTATTGCCTGAACGAAAAACGCGCAAGTGGCAGAACCAAATAAGAATTATTTATGGTGGCCATCTTGGATTTGACAATAGGTTGATCCCTATTACCTGTGTATAGTCACCAAAATCACGGTTATGTTAATGGCTAAATACGCCCGTTTTCGTCAGTGACAATGACCATTATTGTGGCCATCTTTGATTTGACGATGATGTCTTATGTATATAATATGACGAGTGGTTTTAATAGATAGGTTGACCCCTATAACCTGTATATAGACACCAAAATCACAGTTCTAACATGCCCATCCTAAAAGTTATGACAGATATAGTTTGGTGGCTATTTGGCGACCATATTGGATTTTCCGATGACGCCACACACTTTCCATCTAGCGGCTGGTGGTTTGGTTTTAATGGATTGTTTAACCCCTAACACCTAGGTATAGACACCAAAACTGTCTCCCTAACCTGAATATCAGGGACGTTATGGACCTCTATATAGAATGATGGCCATCATAGACGCCATGATTCCGAGTGGCAAGACACGTTATTTTTACTTCCGCAGGGATCCCCAACATATTCAAAATCAATTACTGACGGCATAACAAATATTACACCATACTTGATGGGTTTAGAGGTCAATATTACACAATCCAGAACTGTATATTATATCATTACCCGTATACCATGACTTATACACTCTATACTGTATGTATATATACACATATATATATATATATATATATATATATATATATATATATATATATATATATATATACACACACACATATATATATATATATATATATATATATATATATATATATATATATATATATATATATATATATAAAGAATAAGAAAGTTATTTTTGTGATTGTAAAATAGAACCCAATAACACCCTTTGCATGTTTTATAGATTGTCCGTTAGAAAGACACATCCTGTCAACTTTATCCCCGTACATTCTTTAACAAAATGGCTAAATAGGACAAGCAAGGAAACTGTCATTTCGAACAAGCCAACTTTTCTGCACCAAGTGGACCCATGTAGATGGACATACCGTATGTAGCTTGCTATGGAAATTCTCTCAGACAACGGCGTCTACGATGTACTCCAAAAGAGAGCAAAAATAGGTTTGGTTTGGGTAATTGGAGACCAATACCTTTAACATTGACGTTAAGATTGTTAGTAAAGCTCTCTGTAATCGTTTGAAACCCTTTCTTGATAAACATATTCATCTCCATCAAAGAGCATTTATCCCAGGAAGACATATTTGAAAATGTGAGGATTACTTTAGTTCAACAAAAACGTATTAATGGATTTCTTTTAGCAAATGATTTCCTAGAATCCTTGTTTTTCATTCATACATGTTTCAAGTCCTGAAACACTTTGGTGTTAAAAAGAAACTCATCCCATTGATTTAAATTCTGTATAAAAAATATTGAATGGGCAGTCGGTTACAATGGTTATACTACAACGTACTTCAGCATTGAAAGTGGTGTCAGACAAGGCGATCCTATTTCAACTAACTTATTCAATTTCGTTATCGATAATCTATGTACAAATATCAGATACTAGAAAAATGCCCGACTTCGCTCGGGGGTCATAACCCCGAAACCAGACGTGGTAGAGTAACGCCACCTGGCCTATGTTACTCCCCGGTCCGAGCTACCCCTATACCCCAAATTTCAGACACGGGGCAGACCTAGTGTAGCCGCCAACCCCGAACAGACAGACAGACAGACAAACAACAGATAGTCACAAATATTAGTATAGATAATAAAAATATCTCTGGAATTAGGTCTGCTAGACCAATCTGTTGCACAGTGGTAATGCGAAAGCCTTCTTTTTACTTTGTAGATAATGAGGTTGGCTACGGTGATATGTATGGCAACTACCTATATGTTTTTAGTATGCTTCTTCAAGTTTGCCGTCTTCATTAGCCCAGTTCGGAGCAAAACAGTAGGACGTTAAACCCCATTTCATTTCATTTCATTTCTTCAAGTTTGTGTATCTCAAAATTTTGGTGGTCAACCTCATATACAAATTTTAGTGCAGAGACATGACCATTTGTTGCTCTGTCTGTAGTGAAAAGCATTCAGCCCAACGAAAATCTGGGGAAAAGTTGGAGGTGGGCAATGAGGCCAGAATTAACATTGAAGTCAATGGGGAAATTAATGGTGGTCTGCCTCCTGTATGTAAACAACCTGACAGTGGATGAAAGGCCTAAATTTGATGATATGATCTCCAAATTGTCAGAAAATGTGATATATGACATTTTGATAATAAAAAAAGTGAAATGGTAAAATTTCAAAAATATTTGACAAATTTGTGAGAGGAATTTTTGATCTGAGTCAAAATTTTGTGATTTTCATTATTTATTTACTGTTCAAAATTAGTGGAAAATATTTTGATGTATAATTTTTACTTTTTCTGCATCATAAAAGTTAGATGGGAAGAAAGTATCATAATTTCACTCAATTTTGCCTAAAAATCATGATAAGTTGTCTGAAATTCTTCACATTACCCCCAATATTGCTGTCAAAATTTTAATTATTCATCTGTTGTAAAATGAACCAAAATGCCTTGCATGATTTATTTTCATTGTTAAATAACTTGAAAAGGATCCACGCGTTTGTCAGATATTGAAAAAGTATCCATGTCTTAGTCAGAAATTTAGTCTACTTGTGTTAGAATTATCAAAACATGGGTGAACTGCATTTTGCTGCTGTGTTCCTCTGGCTGAACACAATTTTAATCTTTTGTTGATTTTTTGGTCTAGAGTGGACAAAGAGGGTTTGAATTAACATTTTCTGGCAGGTTTTGGTAAATATTCATAATTTTGAGTCGGAAAGATAGCGGGGTTATGAGGTTGGCTACGGTGATATGTACGGCAACTAGTTACATGGTTTTAGTATGCTTCTTCAAGTTTGTGTATCTCAAAATTTTGGTGACTCAACCTCATACAAATTTTAGTGCAAAGACATGACCATTTGTACCTCTGTATGTAGTGAAAAGTATTCAGCCCAACGAAAATTTGGGGAAAAGTTATAGGTGGGCAAAGAGGCCAGAAAAAGAAAAATGCTATGAACTACATTCATTATACTTTTGGGACCGCGGTGGCTCAGTGAGTAAGGTGATGACTGCAGTTCCCGTGTTCGATCCCAGTGTTGTCCGTGAAAGTTATTCTGGATTTTCTGGTGTGATACTGGACAGGGAGCTTGACAAGGACAACGTACAGCGGATGGGACTAAAACCTAGGTTCCGTGTATTAAGCACACACGAGAAGGAACCCTTGGCAGTAAGAATGAGAAGTAAGAGTAGGTCTGGTAAAATTTTCTCCATAGTACACTGTATGCCGTATGCCTGTCAGCGGGACGTTAACACCATTTGATTTCAATATTTCAATATCCTTTTGGACTCAGATTAGCAATTATTTGCCCATTGACTTCAATGTTAATGGCTGTAACATCACAAGCTGTAGCTTTTTGCTCAACATTCCGTTGGTTCCAATCTTTATAGGCACAATGAGGACAACATTTGGCAATCTCCTCATCATAATTTTGTAGGGGGTTGACCGTTTAGATTTTTTGCTACAGGGATTTGAAGTTGACTGGGGTGAAAATCTCACCTGAGACCTATTTTAGCATTGAAATTTTTTGAATATTTGACGGCTGCAAACATAGTTTCCTGCTATTTCAGCCCGCGAACAAAGCAACTTCAAAGTGATCTAATATAGCCTAATTAAGATGGCTGACTCCAAACAAAAGATCAATTGTTTACAGTCCACCGAGACGGGACCGTTTGGAGAAAATTTTGAAAATTTAACAGCCGCATACGCGTTTTCCTGCTATTCCAGTCTGTGAATACAGCATCTTCAATTTGGTCCAATATAGCCTACCTGGTTGACCCGAATTCCAAACAACCAATCAATCGTCGCGGGGTATGGGGGGCCTCACCCTCCCGGAGAAAATTTTGAAAATCTAACCACCGCGAATGCGTTTTCTGCTAATCTAGCCCGTTGCAGCTGCATTCACAAATAATAATCGATGCCTGAAAAATGTCGCACAAAGTAGAGTGGCTCCAGACAAAATGTTTCAATCCCTAGTCAACTCAGTACAAATTTGTGGTATTCAATTAAAACAAAAGTAAAATTAGTGTTTTATTAGGGCTCCATGACAGGGAAGAAAAACTGGAAATGCCCGAAAAAATTTCAGGTTTACAGACAGCGGCGCCAGTTTTCTTCGAGAGGTGAAGAAGCAGAACTGACCTTGTATGGACCCCCGAAGAAAATTTGGGAATATTTGACGGCCGCAAACGCGTTTTACTGCTATTCCAGCCCGTAAAATTAATTAGTGTTTTATTAGATTTAGGGAACTTTATTTTGCCCGAAAAGTCAGCTTGCCCGAAAGTTAGGGGGGGGGGGGGGACTCTGGCTCGTACGCCTATGATTGTCGTGCACCCTTTACCTCTAAGCCCACATTGCCGCAGGCAGACAGCCTCCTGCTAACCCACTCCCCATCCCCACACACATCTATATACCCACGAACTCACAAAGCGAAACATACATTGATTACGTGCTAGAAATGAAAGCTTTTACTAATATATAAGATGATAATCATGCATATCAATATAAACACCTTTTCACCCAATTTAAGACATTAAAATCCGTAAACGACCCAATCACCCCACAGAATGGAAATCTACGCATAAAACTTGGTTTCGTAAATCCTCTCATTGGTGAATCTTCCCCTTTAGCCGCTGGACTACGGTATTCTCAAACCGTCCGAATTATTGCCTTGATAGTCGTTAAATACCAGTCGTTTATCATGTGCTTATGTTCAGTCTACATGTAGAACCTATGTTCTGAATAACGATAAGTCTAAGTATGACACCAGAAAGATACTAAATCTAGAAAGGTCCGGATTCTAGATAGGTAGTGATATTTTCAAAAAAATCAACAACAATTAATTACTCATCTTATCTAAAATATATTTAATAAAAAAAAACAATCGATGGGCGTGGTAAAATAGAATAATATATATTTAATGTATAAACAATCTATGCATAGACAATATATGGATGTGGTATAATAGAATTTATTTTATAATCAGTAGTGGAATACCGCGTATTATCAGTGAAATAAAAGTGTTATTCCACTGGCTAGTTGTTTTTACCTAAAATGATTGTAAAATCATAAAATAAATAGAACATTTGTCGTTTTGTCGTGAATAACATATATTATTTCATCTCTAAGCAAGAAAACGTTTATATTTTCACATTTCTCGATGAAATAAAATATATTATTCACTCTAAAACGACAAATATCCTCTATATATTTAAATGGATAAACAATTTATGGATGTGGTATAATAGAATATATCTAATCTATGGATGTGTGATATCACTTATGTGGAAGCAGACGTTAAACACCAAGAACTACTACTACTATGGATGTGGAAACAGTTTAATTTATGGTAGACAGTTGGAATGTACAATACAACATATTTAATTATAACCATTTTCGAATATTTTTGTAGGACACAAAATATTAATAGTGTAACTATTCTTTAGATATATAATAAAATATAGTAATAGTTTAACTAGATATATAATAAAATACAATATATTAATAGTTTAGATATATAATAAAATATAGTAATAGTTTAACTAGATATATAATAAAATATATAAAAGCCTCGTTGCGTCATTTTAGCACCATATGAAATGAACTGAAACGGGGTTTAACGTCATACTCTTCTACACCGACTGGGCTAATGAAGACGGGCATACGCCATACAGTGTGCTATGAGGGAAATTGTGCCCGGAGAGCGGCGCTAAGACCTATTCTTATATCCAGCTACATAGGGATCATTTACGTGAACGCCAATATGTACACGTGACCTATAATATATGATAATATATACGAGATAAATATAAAAATAGAGGAATGGCTGTTTGATAGAAATACATGTACATAATAATAATATACAGGAGATAAAATATACCGATGGGATATGACTGAAATGGAGAAATTTGTCTAACAGAGAACCTGACACAGAATGAGAGATTATATTTACTGATTAGTATATTGTTTTCACTGATGTTTGGGTATTGGATTGGATCGCGTAATACCCCCCCCCCCCCCCACCACGAATTCACTAGAATAAATAATCTACAACCAGACAACTGAATTCTGTTTTCACCCGGTCGTTATGTGATGACTTCAATGTATCAATATTAACTTTTTATTCTGTTTAAGTTACATTTTAAAACAATCTCTGAGAAAACTACCATCTTTCAATGTTCCCGTCTCCCGTCACTACTGATAACTTGCTACGTATATGAACTCCTGGAAAAGGGAAGTGATATCAGGCATTCTCGAAAACGGAAACGTGGAGATATGGTTTTGATGCTATGGCGATTCTCCATGGGCAAGCTGCTTGAAATGGTCTGGGTCCCATTTATCAAAACACGCTGACGCTTAAAACTTGTTGGTTACCGTTAGTTTTGTCACTTTTTGAACCATTGGTGGATCTGAGAGAAATTTTTAATCATCGACGGAATAGATTATATATTTGTTTGTCCAGACCCTCTGTGACCTATATGTTGAACACCCACATCCCTATCACTACCGACCTTATATGTTTAACAAAATTTAGAAATTTTACTATACAACGCCATAAAGTTTACATGTACGTAACGTTACTGATATAGAACCTACTTAGTAATGTTACTAAACAACTACTCTATAGAACTTACTTAGTAATGTTACTAAACAACTACTCTATAGAACTTACTTAGTAATGTTACTAAACAACTACTTTATAGAACTGGTACGTAACGTTACTAAACCCTTACGCAAATTATACATCATTTTTGGAAGCTTGTATACAGGATCTATAATATTGGTGTATTTGTTATTTTAATAGATTCGAAAATTACATGTAGAACACTTAATACGATCTCAAATCTACTTTTTATTGTACATGAGTTATTTTTGTGACCACTTATGAATTAAACGAAGCCCGCATTATTCGAAACCCGCCAATCAGTTATTATATATTTATTTTATGACTCAAATCTCTACGTTTTCGTCTTGTCCAAATATCTGTTCTGTTTACAGAATATTATTGAAGAAGTCTCCTTTGAATATAAGGAATTTCATCTTTTCTTTTTGTTGAATTTTTGTTTTAAAAGACCAGAATAAGGCTGTCATATTGTCATCGTCAGTATAATTTACATCGTATCCCGCATCATTGACTAGCCATTTTACTGTATCTAATGTACCTAGATAACAGCTATGATGTAGTGGATAACAACATTTACCATAGTCACCCTCGTCCGTCATGCCATCTTGATATGGTCGACATATTATAATCTTAGCACCTTTAGAGATAAGGAATTTAATCTTTTCTTGTTGTTGAATTTTTGTTTTAAAAGACCAGAGTAAGGCTATCATATTGTCATCATCAGTATAATTTACATCGTATCCCGCATCATTGACTAGCCATTTTACTGTATCTAATGTACCTAGATAACAGCTATGATGTAGTGGATAACAACATTTACCATAGTCACCCTCGTCCGTCATGTCATCTTGATATGGTCGACATATTATAATCTTAGCACCTTTAGAGATAAGGAAATTAATCTTTTCCATCTGTTGAACATTTGATTTAAAACACAATAATAATAGTGTGTAAATGCCTTCCGAACGCTGATTTATATACAGCCCTATTTCATTCACGAGAAATTTAAGAGTTTCAGTTATACCGTACCGACAAGTAAAATACAGCAAACCCGTATTATCGTTATTTATATGTAAACTTGCCCCTTTTGTTGACAGGAATTTCAGTTTACTGACGGGACTTTTTGTAGAGATGCAACAGGACATAACCGGTGTCCAACCGTTATTGCCCCTATGATGCATACCCAACTCTATGTCATTCACCAAATATTCAACAGTTTCAATATTACCAAATCGACAACTAACATGCAGTAAGCTCCTATTATTATCATCTACAGTATGTAAACTTACCCCTTGTGATGACAAGAATCTGAGTTTACTGACAGGATTAATGTCAGACATAGAACAGTGTTTTGCCGGTGTTCTACCATTAGTGTCTCTACAGTGGACATCTAGTCCTATGTCATTCACCAGATATTTAACAGTTTCAATAGTACCGTCTTGACAACTAGCATGCAGTAAACCCCCCTTATCATTATCTACTGTGTGCAGATTTACCCCTTTTGATGACAGTAATTTGAGTTTACTGACAGGACTTATTTTAGACCTGGAACAGTACATAGCTGACGTCCAACCTTCATTATCTTTATGATGGACATCCAGCCCTATTATATTCACCAGATATTCAACAGTTTCAATAATACCATTTAGACAACTAAAATGCAGTAAACTCATATTATTCACAACTACATCACTTAAACTTACCCGCTTTGAAGTCAGAAATTGGAGTTTCTTGATAGGATTATCATTAGATAAAGAACTTTGTATAGCTGGTGTTATACCTATATTGTTTTTATGATGAACATCTAGCCTTACGTCATTTACTAGATATTCAACAGTTTCAATAGTACCGTTTCAACAACTAACGTGCAGTAAACTATTATTATTATTATCTACAGTATGTAAACTTACTCCTTTTGATGAGAGGAATTTAAGTTTACTGATAGGATTTATTTTAGATGCAGAACAGAATGCAGCCGGTGTGTTACCTTCATTGGTTTTATAATGGACATCCAGCCCTATGTCATTTACTAGATATTCAACAGTCTCGACAGTACCAGCTAGACAACTAAAGTGAAGTAAACTCATATTATTGTTACCTACAACACGTAAATTTACCCCTTTTGACGACAGGAATTTGAGTTTACTGATAGGATTTATTGTAGATACAGAACAGCACTTTGCCGGTGTGTTACCTTTATTGTCTTTATAATGGACATCAAGCCCTACGTCATTTACTAGATATTCAACAGTTTCAATAGTACACTCTCGACAATTAACGTGCAGTAAACTGTTATTGTCGTTATCTACAGTATGTAAACTTACTCCTTTTGATGAGAGGAATTTAAGTTTACTGATAGGATTTATTTTAGATACAGAACAGCACATTGCCGGTGTCCAACCATTATTGTCTTTATAATGGACATCCAGCCCTATGTCATTTATTAGATATTCAACAGTCTCGATAGTACTCCAAACACAACTAGCATGCACTAAACTATTATTATTGTTAACTACAACACGTAAATTTACCCCTTTTGATGACAGGAATTTGAGTTTTTCGATAGGATTAATGCTAGATAGACAACAGAACATAACCGGTGTTAAACCTTCATTGTCTTCATAATTTATATCTAGCTCTATTTCATCAACTAGATATTTAACAGCTTCAAGAGTACCTTCTCTACCACTACGATGAAGTAAACTCCTATTATTATAATCTACAGCATGTAAACTTGCCCCTTTAGATGACAAGAATTTGAGTTTCTTGACAGGATTAATGCTAGAGGCAGAACAGAATACAACCGGTGTGTTACCATCATTGTCTTTATGGTGGACATCTAGCCCTATTTGATTTACTAGATATTCAACAGTTTCAAGTTCACCATATCCACAACTAATGTGAAGTAAACTACAGTTGTCATCATCCAAAACCTGTAAACTACACCCCCTGGACAACAAGAACTCGAGTTTTTTAATAGGATCAATATCCGACATCACAGAATAACATACAGGAGTCCAACCAGTCTTGTCTTTTTGATTTATGTTTAATCCTATTTCATTCACTAAATAATGAACCGTGTCAATAGAACCACGTCTACAGCTATGGTGTAGAATACTACGGTTATTTTCATCTACTACATTAAAATCCATACCTTTATTGTTTAAAATTCTCATCTTATCAACAGATTCACAACATATGAATAAAATACTTTTATTAAAAAGATTGCTATCTGTTCCATATGGCAATATACGATCTAAGATAGTTGTTAACATGGAGTTATCCTGTAACTTTGTTGCTTCACCAATTATGGTCTGGATATACTTGGGATCAAAAGATGTCATCTTGTTTATTAGTATTTCAAAACACTTTATGTCATCATTAGCTATTATTTCTAATAAAGGAATTCGATTGAGTTTATCAGCCTTATGTAAAAATGACCCAGCTTCGATTAACTGATTTAGAATCTGGGTTACATCGACATCAGTTCTACCGCCATAAGAGCTGCAAACAATATGAATAGGTAACCTGCCCATATCATCTTTGGCATTAACCTCCGCTTCTTGACTTATTAAAATAGACACAGTCTCTTTTTTGCCTCGCGCAACAGCCAGATGTGGTGGTGTACTACCACTGTCATCTCTAGCATTTACATCAAACGCCCTGTCTATCAGAAAATTGATTATTTGATGATTGTCGTGCTTTGAATCACACGCATTGTGAAGAATTGTTCTTGACTTATTATCACGCTTGCTTTTGTCGAAGTTTGTGAAATTACTGACATGGTTAACAATGTCAAATTTATCTGAGTAAACCACTAAATGTGGTAATGCCGATAAGTCTCCAATTTCCTTTTCATTTAAAAGATTCATTTTTTTGATAGGGTCATGAACCGAAACAGCAGCAAGGCCGATTATATCCTACCCCATATCCGTTTTTTCCTCAACTAATTGGGGTAGCTGATCATGAAAATAAAAGAGTGCTGCTTCGAGACATCTCATGTCTCCATGAAGTGTAATGTAATGAAGAAAATTGCCACTTTCCTGTACTTCACGAATATCTCCCAAATTGATAAATTTGGTGTGCAACAAATTGGCTATGTCATTTCTACCAAGAAAATGTAATAAAAATTTATAGTCAATGAAAGCGGGGTGGCTGACGATATCAGCATGCTTATCATGTAATTCTTTTAAAAATCGCATAGAAAGCTCGTCGAAATAATCGTCATGTATTTTAATACACCGATCTACTTGGTGATTTGTTCTAACCACTGACATCAAAAGTTCAAAAGAACAGTATTGTAAAGCCATTTCCATGCATTCAACGGAAAGGTGGTGTAAAAATGGCACCCCAACAAAGTCTCGCAATGAAAATATGTTCATATAATGTTTGAGGAATGTATCTGAAAGTTCATTGAGATTACGCTTAGCGCCATTCAATTTAAATTCTGGGCATATTTCTTTAGTGACGGTCGAAATAAGAGACTTAACTCTCGCGGGACAATTTTGTTTAAGGTCTTTCTCTGAAACAGTATGTAAACAAAATACTAGTGCTAGTCTAGCATATATATATTTATTTTCGTTCCAAAACGTTTCTAATTCTAAAATAAGAAATTCATGCGAACTATCAAAAATCGCCGGTAATTTATCAGTCGTTAATTTGCTACACAAACTGGCAATCGATGGAAAACCGAAACAGTCAGTAATTTTGGAAATTATCTTATTAGATGATATTTCATAAAAATCTAAAAATTGTCCCTTTTCTTTAGTGTTTAAAGAGAATTCGCCTTTATGAAGAAATATTTTATTTGTTTTTTCAACATGTTCCACAAATAAATCATATTTGTCGAATTGATATTTGGAAGAAAGGTAAATATAATCTCTCATTACATAAATAATAACTAATTTGCCCCTTTCTTTATTAACCCGAAGAGTGCCAAAATGAGCAGGCCATTTATCAATACGTGCCTGTAATTTATTATATTTACCATACATGTCATCGATGATATAAAGATACTTATCATCTTCAAAGCTCACTTCTTTTAAATCATCCAAATCATTAATCAACAATGGTTTATATTCCGGACGTTCTTCAATGAATTGTTTGGCTATCATCATTGATAGCACAGTTTTACCATCACCAGCCGCCCCTACTATTCCCAGGATTTGATGATTCTTCAGTATCTTCAAACCTTCATAAAGGGCACGGGTCTCAACATATTTTTTATCTTTCACATAGTTAAGATTTTCCAGTGCTTCACCTGAAGACAAAAGGTAAGTTTATTGATATGAGCTATATATAAATCGCTAAAAAAAAAGAAAAACACCTTAACAACTTTGAAACACAATGTATTTAAGCTAGGCTTAAAAGTATGTCACATTATACATTTTAATTTGTGTGGGGTCTTTCAAACCTTTGTTCAATCTTGTACCTTTTCAATAATTATAGAAGTAATTGAAACTTTTGAACTAAAAATCATGAAGATATCAAACACCGGATATTTACATTTGCTGTATATACACGTCACACAAACAGTCTCAGTATAAACCATACCTTGTTGATTTTTTGCGAAGAAACAGAACGGGCACAAACATATTTCTCTAGATATGGAAAATTAATTAACTGTGTGTCCTAATTTATAGCCAAGAACAGCAAATATCAGGTTTTACCAAATCCAGAAAGAGACTAGCTAATGTTTGAACGGGCAAAATACCTAATGGTCCAACTTTCAACCAAAATGAAATTAAATGAGGTTTAACGTCATATTGGTCTACTGGGCTAATGGAGACGGGAATTCCAACTGCCAAGAGTTCTTGTCACGTGCACACCAATGCGTATACTAGACCTCGGTTTATCGTCTTATACGCACGACTATACATTGTCAATTCCCTCCCCCTCCTGCATCACTGAAAAGCAAGTGCAGATTTGAAATTGGCCAAATAAAAAATCAATGTCTTATTGAAAAACAATAACCGCTTCTTTCTTTAAAGGATTAGGTTGCCGAGCAGGATTTAAGCCTCATTTTATTCCATTAAACTCATTTCGGTCTTTCAATTTCTTTAAACGCAGTACAGAATTGAGCTTTTCTGGGATACAAATAAGACATCATACCAAAAATACAATATTATTCATATAGAAATTTTTAGAATTGCCCGTTGATATCACTGTTAAATGTGACATTTAACTTATTGGGGATGGGGTGGGGTGTTTCGACATTTGCGAGGTCACAATGCTTATGTATCTAATTCATTTGTGTTATATCCTGATCCTTCGGCCACATAATCATAAATATACAATAAAACCTAATAGAACCAGCGGCTGCCAGGCAGGATACGCCCACATTTTCGAGAGATGGATAGAGAACAAGCTAACAAGAAAGTGATTTTTCCTACTATCAAGGGCCATAATTCAGGAAATTACAATTCGATATGCGCATATATCGAAAGGAACTGAACGACTGGCAGCCATTTTGTCTGTCAATTTTGGGCCGATTTTCACGAAATTCGAACTCAATCGTCCTCAGGGTGTAACGGTGATATGATAATCCGTTTTTTTAAATCGGATAAAAATTATGACCTCTATAAAGATCCACAAGCTAAAAACGCAATTTTTCGTACAATCAGGGGCCATAATTCAGGAAATTACGGTCCGATATGCGCGAATATCGAAAGGAACCAAGATCTTTGGGTTATAGACTTACATTTCAAGTTTCAACAAAATCGGATAAAAATTGTGACCTCTATAGGGTCCACAACCTTGATATACCATTTTCTTACGCTATTTGAGAACGAACGATGGCCATTTTGTCTGTCAATTTTGGGCCGATTTTCACGAAATTTGAATTTAGTCGTCCCTAGGGTGTAACGGTGATATAATAGAACGTTTTTTTAAATTGGATAAAAATTATGACTTCTATAGGGTCCACAAGCTAAAAACGTGATTTTTCGTACAATCAGGGGCCATAATTCAGGAAGTTACGGTCCGATATGCACGAATATGGAAAGGAACTGAGATCTTTGGGTTATAAACTTACATTTCAAGTTTCAACAAAATCGGATAAAAATTGTGACCCCTATAGGGTCCACAACCTTGATATACCATATTCTTACGCTATTTGGGAACGAACGGCGGCCATTTTGTCTGTCAATTTTGGGCCGATTTTCACGAAATTCGAACTCAGTCATCCTTAGAGTGTGACGGTGATATAATAGAATGTTTTTTTAAATCGGATAAAAATCATGACTTCTATAGGGTCCACAAGCTAAAAACGTGATTTTTCGTACAATCAGGGGCCATAATTCAGGAAGTTACTGTCCGATATGCGCAAATATCGAAAGGAACTGAGATCTTTGGGTTATAAACTTACATTTCAAGTTTCAACAAAATCGGATAAAAATTGTGACCTCTATAGGGTCCACAAGCTAAAAACGTGATTTTTCGTACAAACAGGGGCCATAATCCATGAAGTTTCGATCCGATACATGCCAATATCGAAAGCAGTCGAGATCTTTTGGGGATAAACCTATATTTCCAGTTTCGTCGAAATCGGATAAGAATTGTGACCTGTAGAGAGTCCACAAACAATTGTGGACGGACGGACGGACGGACAGGGGCGACGGCATAATACTTCACATGAAAAAGTGGGCGTATAAAAAGCAGAAACAAACGATATTGTACGATTCATAACCATAAAGTCAATAGCAATTACCATGAAGTAGGTGAGGGAGCGAGTAAGAATGGATGACTTGCTATAAATTCACGAAATCTTAGCCTATACGGAGACAGACAACCAAATATTTGTTGTATACGTCACTACCTTCCTTGTAGATAGTGCATATCTGTCAGTGCATATCTGTCTCATCATTCCGTATGAAGTCCAGTAATAAACACCTGACATGATCAACTACTGTCTTCATAGTCATCATTATAACAAATTTCACATAGAATATATTGAAATCTAAACTCTACCTTTCATTGTCCTCAATCTGTGACTGTCTATACTCCTTTTACCTGAAATACGTGTAAATATAGAACAATAACCACTCCCATTTGGCAACCAATTACACCTTATAGGTCAACTTATAATTTAATATTAAAATTTCAAAGTTGTACGAGGGACAATGCAATACACACTAGATTGCACTGACTGGACCCAAGATCTGGTCATAAACTAAATAATAGGAAAATATGATTTACTTACCTAATAAATCAATGTTACCTTTACGGAATTCATCCAATCCAGACTTCAGTTCCTGTTAATATAAAACAATTATATCAATTCCAGATGTTGTTTGAGGAGGAACAACACGGCTAAACGTTCCAACATCAATTAAATGCAAATGTGTCATGGCATCAGGTGTTCCAAAGATTGGTTGCCATTCAATGAAACATACGCTTACAGCATCTAAGTCGAACAAGTCCAATAACCCCGAAAGTATATTGGCGTCTTCGTCTCTCGAATATAATTTCTCGCACAATTTAAAAAGCAATTGAAAAATAACTTTAGTATCTTGTGAGTGCATAAAAAGACTTGGCGACAACGACGAACACTTCTGTATAATGTCAAGTTTACTTGTTATTTGTATGGTTTTATTGGAGATAATTTTGAAATCATAATTTCTGACTACATTGGACTTCGACTATCAAATGTTTATTAAACATACATTATACAAGAGCTAAATCTGCCTGAAATGTTTAAAATATTATTAATTAGACATTAATTAACTCATCCAGGCAATAATCAACTGTCGATGACATCAGATTTCTCCAATTTAAAATAGATTAGAACAGTTCAGCCATATTTAGTTTTAAGCTAAAAATGGAGGAGCGAGACTTAGCTTCGAACAACCAGTACGGTGGTTGAAATTATTGCACACGTCTTGTCAAACCTTCAAAAGGCTAATATCTTCGCTCCCAATAGAGTAATTTGAATTAAATTTTCAAATTATTCATTTTACATTATCTATTTTCGAACGGCTATTAGAGTTAGAACGGCTAGCTCTTTATCTAAATCTTTCATTTTGAGTGAAGCCTGTATCATAACAGACCCGGGACTGTACAGCACAGTGGACGTTTACGGCTTGCCCCGAAATCCATTCACTTGATTTGATATTTGTTTATTTGGTGCATTGTCTATTTTCTGTCTTGTCCGTAGGCTTATCTTGTAGATTTTTGTTTTGCGTGTAATGCGGTCCTCTAGCACTTACTAATGTATCTTTAAATACGATTTACATGTCTGATGGATATTCAATATGTTGTAGAACAGTCCAGGATTTAGGATACAACCGATGAGGTGAGAATTTCAAGAATAAGATAAAAATATTAATTCTATACGTACCTGTAATCCTGCCAATAATTCGTCATATGTAGTAATACCTGGTTCGTTATCTCGATGGCCTTTATAACCTAATAACAAAGAGTGTAATAGATTACTTTATATTTTGTGAGAATAATACCAGCAATAACAATACAAGTAAATCAACCGATTATAATAATTTACTTTGTATTTTGTGAGAATAATACCAGCAATAAGAATACAAGTAAAATAACCGATTGTAATAATTTACTTTGTATTTTGTGAGAATAATACCAGCAATAAGAATACAAGTAAAATAACCGATTATAATAATTTAATTTATATTTTGTGAGAATAAAACCAGCAATAAGAATACAAGTAAACCAAAGGGTGTTGGATGCTAATATGTCACACGTGCACACATATGGATCGACATGGGCAGTCAAATAGAGGTATTTTGTAACAGGGGCATAGTGACCCATGACTTTGTATGAGGAACAAGATCCCGTTCGGGCCCCAAGAAACCAATATTGATATGTGTGTGCGGGGGGGGGGGGGGGCTCCCAGTAGTGCCACCGGGCAATACTGGGTTGTGTGGAACATGTTTTCTTTTTCGGGTAACCCGACCGACCCATCACAAAACCTACCGACTTTTTATGTTTGTTAGTGTCAAGAGAAATAAAACCAGCGGTTGCCAGGCAAGATGCGCCCACAGTTTGCAAGAGATGGATAAAGAGCAAGCTTATAAAAAAGCGGCTTTTCGTACAATCAGGGGTCATAATCCAGACCGTGATGGTCTGAAATGCGCGAATATCGAAAGGGACTGAGGTATTTGGGATATAAAGATATAATTTAAGTTTCATCAAAATCGGATATAAAATGTGACTTCTAGAAGACTCACAACCAGTGATGGGATTTTGTCCGTATATTCCGGACATGTCCGACGCTATTTTCCAAACGCCCTAAATTGTTCGACCACGAATATGCCCAATCGGACATCAAGACATGGTAAATAATATTCAAAATTCCAAAATTAATATAGTGTACTGAGTGCATAACTACCACTCAACCCGATTATCGTTGATAATAGGCTGGATTGATTAGGTAATTAAGTGATCAACGTATTTATCGTTTTATGCCGCCTATACACCTACCTTGATTTACTACTTAATCTACCTTGATTGGCTGACTTAATTCTTTGTTGGACAATTCATCAATTCAATCCTGAACAGAAGTCATTGCTTCTCCTTCGTCGAACTATATATCAATCCAATCTACGTGATTAACCATTGTCTCACGTTTTAATCTGCTTGATGTCCGACGTAGACATTAGTCATAGATGTCACATATCCTAATAGTATATAACACCGCAAATCAATATACATTGTGTCCGATAACTTGTCTGTGATATTTCTTCAGTGGAAGCCGAAGTTAAATAAAGCTATTTCACACACACACGCAAAATGAAAGTAGAAATCTTGCGAGACACGTGGAATTAAGAGGTGTAAACGTGCCGAATGTAATACGTCTGATGTCGGGAGAAAAGATTCTATTTTGATGGCATATTGTCGGATTTATGATCATATTTTGAATGGGGTTTATGTTCACGAAATTCGAACTCAACCGACATTACGGTGTTGTCGTGATACAGTCGAACGATTGTTTAAATCGGATAATAATTGTGACATCTAGAGGGACCACAACCTAAAAACGCGATTTTTCGTACAGAGAGAGAGAAATGGGGTTTAATGTCCACGTCCACTAGGTCATTTCGGGACTAACATATGGTTTAATTTTATTTCAATAATTCGCTTGCGCGTAGGGGTCTTTAGCAGTGGGAGGAAACCGGAGGACCCGGAGAAAACCCACGAGGCTGGACAGGTGACCCTACTCCTTGTCACGTAATTTTTCGTACAATCAGGGACCATAATTCAAGAAGTTATGATCCGATATGCGCACATATCAAAAGGAACCTAGCTAGATCTTTGGGTTATAAACATGCATTTCAAGTTTCATCAAAATCAGATCAAAATTGTGACCTTTTGAGTGTTCACAAGATAAAAACGTGAATTTTCGTAAAACAGGGGCCATGATCCATGAAGTTTTGATCTGATACATGCCAATATCGCCAGGAACCGAGATCTTTAGGAGATAAACCTATATTTCAACTTTCGTTAAAATCGGATAAGAATTGTGACATGTAGAGTGTCCAGAAAACAAATTGTGGACGTATAAAAATTATTTCATATCTGCCTGGTATTATACAGACGGAAACTAACCTGGTTCGAGTTTAAATACAGCATTATAATATTGATTGTCATATAGAGCAGCTATAAATTTATCATAACCAGTGTGACCACACCCAAAAATAATATCCAGTATTTTCTTTGCAGCGGCTTTTCTACTATCCTTCTCTGCCTTTTCTATTTTCTCCTTATCATCCTCATTGAAGGCATCTTTTTCAAATAAAGAATCTGCTACACACATTGGATCATGTTTTATCTCACGGATAAGAAATGTGAAATTATTTTGAATCTTGTTATGTTGTTCTTCTGTGAGGTTTCCTCGAGTACTTCCGCCACCTGACGCCATTTTGTTAGAGTCTATTTACCGCTATATAATTGTTCTCTCAACATATATTAATTTAGTTTGACTGTTCCGTTTTCTTCCTCTTTCGTTTCATTTTGTACCTAGAAAACATTACAAAATAAATAAAATACAAAATAATATAAAATTTCTAAAATTGAATGTCAATATTTTCCCACTTTATGGAAGAATCAACGAAGAATTTGGTGAATATTCATGATAGATTAATAGATTTAAGATTTTGGTTTAACGTTGAAATGTTGAATGGTGGATAGTTACATGTTTTGTATGGCATTTATGTTGACCTCTCGATCTGACAATTTGTGTCAGGTTTTGGTGAATATTCATGGATTAGATGATGAGTAAGTTACTAGACATGCATTGATGAAATAGCCTACTAAAATGACGTTACTTCCTATAGATGTCTTTGACCAAGCCTAGTGAGTTATGTAATCCATGTGACATTAAACGCGAGACATAAACTGATTATTGGGACAAAACATTTGAACGTCAACAATTTACAGTTTGTTAGTCATGTGGAATCCCCAAACGAGAAGATGTATCGAGTGTTAGTCTGATGGATCCACCACAGAACCTTGTTTTGTTTGAATAATGTTATCAGCACAGTTGGGTGGGGGACCACGGTGCATGGCATGTATTATCTCTTTAATTAACACATCCATTAGAACAACCCATTTTTCATCAAGAAACCTTATCTGACTAAAGAGCCGTTCTCGGTTTTGGCTTGCTCATGAAAGGAACGTGCCCGAACTTAAACTTGCATGTCTGAAGCACTAGCTAGGATCAACCATATAGCTTTCACGAGTTGAGAGATAGCACCACGAGTAACCGCCCCAGTCGCAGACCCCTCTGTCTGCAAACTCAAGAGAGATCAGGACCCGAACAGCGGGGACGACCGAGAAGGAGAATAGTAGCCAGGACTGACCACACACGTAAAGTCGAGATGGGCGACATGCGAGAGACAAGCTCGAGCGGTGTCGTGTAGATGGTAATCGATGGGCGCTGATTTAGCTCATGTTCCGCAAAAAGGGTCGTTTACGGTACATATACCAAAAGCTTATGGCAGTATACTAGACTCAAAATTCTAACATGCTATCGTCTAATTTCTAACTTCTATTCATGTAATTTCTAACTTTAATTCATGTAATTTCTAAATTAAGACAATGTATAATCCAACTACTTTGTTCAGTGTAAATTTTAATTCTGTTTCATCTTATTTCTATTATTAAGACGAAAAATGTCTACTTTGTTGTCGCTTTACATGTTAAGCATGAAAGTCAAACAAATTTAGAATTTTGATACTTCTACTTAGCAACCATCATTATGACGTCGTTTGGTGTCGCCACCGTGTGATCGGGACCATTCTGTTGATACCAACGACTTGCTCTTCGTCAGGTTGAATGGTTTAGCGGAGTGTTGAAAATGAAAACATCGAACGTGACATGAAATGAAATGAAATGGGGTTTAACCTGGGCTAATGAAGACGGGCATACGCCATACAGTGTGCTATGAGGGAAATTTTGCACGGACAGCGGCACTACGGCCTACTCTTATATCGAATTCCAACTGTCAAGGGATTTTTTACTTGCACGCCAATGTGTACACGGGACCTCGGTTTTTCGTCCCATCCGAACGACTAGACAGCTGTCCTTGTCAGGCAACACCAAACGACGTCATAATGATGGTTGCTAAGTAGAAGTATCAAAATCCTAAATTTTTGTTTGACTTTCATGCTTAACATTTCAAGCGACAACAAAGTAGACATTTTTCGTCTTAATAATAGAAATAAGATGAAACAGAATTATATACTCAGCCAAATTAAAAACTTGACACTGATGAATTTCAACAAATTTTTTTTTCGGGTAAGTCAAATAAATTTTAAAGTGTTTGTAACGATAGTAAGTAGTAAGAAGCCTTTAATTTCATAAAATTGTAAAGTCACTTGGATCACGTGACTTTTGAGCATATAAAGATGAAAAACATGAAAAACACGTGCAAACACAAACTCGTGAGGTCAATCGATGCAAGTTTGCTTAAACTGAACACGCACACGTAACTTGAACTGGAAAAACAAATTAAAATTGTTATTTTCATCTTTGTTAGAAAATGTCGCACCTTTCAAATGTAGAACGTTTACGTGCTATAGGTAGGCTCTATGCTGGTCAGTCTGTGGTCACTGTTGCAAGAGCCTTTAATTGTTCACGCCAGACAATAATTAATCTTAGAATGAGAGTGCTTCAAACTGGAACTATTGCCGACTGCCCAAGGGCGGGAGCGCCACGTGTGACGTCACTCCAGGAAGATCAAGCAATACGATTACGTCATCTTAGAAACAGATTTGTCACTGCAACCTCCACAAGAAGAGAGAGATGTTTGGTGGAAGGGTAACTGCACAAACTGTTCGAAATTGCTTGCAGGCTGCTGGTCTTCGAGCTCGGAGGCCCTATAATGGACCAATATTGACACCTCTTCATCGCCGTAACCGACTTGTGTGGGCCACAAGACACATGAGATTTACTCAAAGACAGTGGAATTCGGTTGTCTTTAGTGACGAATCTCGATTCACTTTGAGATTTGCCGATGGCAGGGCCCGAGTGTACCGCAGACGAGGTGAACGTTACGCTCATGTATGCGTCAGTGAAGTTGACCGATTTGGTGGCGGCAGCGTCAGGGTTTGGGGTTCTTTTTGTGCACATGGACGTTCTCCTCTTGTTATTGTCCAAGGGAACTTAAATGCTGTCCAGTACAGGGATCAGATTTTGCAACCTGTTCTTCTTCCGTTTAAGCAGAGACATGGGCCTGGACTAACGTTTCAACTAGACAATGCTCAACCCCATACAGCAATTGCTACCAAGAATTTTTTAAGAAATGCCGGTGTCCAACTCCTGGATTGGCCGTCGCTTAGCCCTGACCTTAATCCTATTGAACACATCTGGGACGAACTGGGTCGACGTGTTCGTCAGCAAGTGAATCCACCACTGACGTTGCAGGACATTCAACATGCTCTTGCTGAGCAGTAGCGACGTCTTCCTCGGGTAGTGTTTACTAATGTTCTGAGATCCATGAGAAGATGTTGTGTGGCAGTACGAGACGCTAGAGGAGGCCACAACCGTTACTAAACACTTTATTCCGATTGTCCTCCAAGTCTGTGAATTTCATTTTGGGGGGTACTGTGACATCACGAACGTTATCAATGTCAAGGACTTTCGGCGAGACGTATTCTTGCTTTCTGTTGATGTCAAGGTCGTCTGTGCACAACATAACACTAAAATAGTTGCCTTAAACCAAATATTAAAAATCTAGTCCCAAAAATCCTGAGTGTCAATTTTTTAATTTGGCTGAGTATACATTGGCTTAGTTGGATTATACATTGTCTTAATTTAGAAATTACATGAATAGAAATTAGAAATTACATGAATAGAAGTTAGAAATTAGACGATAGCATGTTAGAATTTTGCGTCTACTATACTGCCATAAAAGCTTTGGTAAACGTTTATTTCTGTAGGCTCTACGGTGCATAGTTTATGAGGTATTCGACATCTGTGGCAATATCAATGTAAAAAGACCTGTGACAATTTGACTTTGCGGATTCTTTCCAGTTTACGTTGGCTTTAGTTCTAATGGAATTAAAAATACTTACCTCGGAAACAGAGATTGTACTGCACAGGTAAATGTAATTGTATTCTATTGGATTTTGATTGGTCGAAAAATGTGGCGTCGAATGAGTATAACAGTCCTCTAAATTTCCTGGGCGACTCACTGCGAATGAATATTTTCTGTGTGCTAGACTCTGTTTGCAGTGGCCAAAAATTCTACACCTCAAAACTTTATTCTACGAAATCTTCATGAATTTTTTCTTGTATGTCATCAACAATGAAATTCAACCATTGGCTTATTGAAACACACACCTGAAACACAAAAAACAAAGATAGTGAGTGTATTTGAAACATAATGGGTAAATTTCATTTCAAGGCTGGTCTGACCATAATGGTTGCTATGGTCATTCTATCATAATCTGGTCAAAATCGAAGATTTTCAACAAGTCAATAAAAATACTACAATTTATTGAACTCCGTATGGACCGTAAATAACCGATTGGGATATGTTTTAAAAAATATACAAGTCGGACTGACACTGATATGAATAGGACAGAGACTAATTTTCATTAGGGTTGTCACGATTAATCGGTTTAGTCGTAGTCGATTCGGTTTCTAGCTCAAACCGTTTCACATTTTGAAAAATCGGTAGTCATTTCATCCAATTTATATTTATACAATTACATATAATGTTTGACTTTTACTGTCTGCTAAACACACTACTAAATTGCTACCTATTAAAACCGTATAGAAAGTAGGGCCCTACGTAAGTACGTCGTTTGAGACTCTATACAGAAATTCCCATTTACAGTGGCACGATCTCAATGTCCCATGGAATTCTTTGCCTACCATATTAGGCATATCTTACTACGAAATGTGCAAAATGGTTGATTTTGGCGCGAAATAGCTGTCAACAACGGACATGATAATCATGGGCATTATAATACATGGACTGAATGCATGCCGCACGAGACAGGGAAGTTGGTTATGCCTTTTTATGAGTGATAAACTGCCAATGTAATTTTAATAAAATACCGTTTTATAAAGAAGAAAACACTGCTCCAGTATAAATTAATTTTAAATCCAGCTGTAATTTATTATTTAATTCACAATCAGAATGTGCCGTTACTGTGTACGAGACTCCTCTATCCTGTGTACGAGGATCGTCTATTCACTCCCCTCGGCATATGTTGCCGTCTTTTTAAATGACACGTGTTCTTTTCTATTTGTGCTGTCTTCCGCGGCTTCTCTTGTTGTTTTTCGTCAATATGATTATCGGTATATATGTTAAAATATTATGTACGGGAATTGTTGTACTAGTGAATTGTAATCTATTGCCAGTATTGGATTTTTAATTATTAGTAGTTAAAGCAGTGGGGGTAAGTCAGAACACGGGAATGTCTTACTCATCTCAATCGCATAATTAAATATCAAAACTAATGACTTAGTAAATGTTGTTTATTGCCAATTTAAACAATTTATTCCAACATCTATTTAGGACAAACTCAACGAAATGTACTACATTGATATACAATCAGCTATTCAGTGTTCACGCGCCATTTTATAATTTACTAATTAAAAAAAAAAACACAAGAAAAAAACCTCGGAGCGCAGTACAGACATTGCCATTATAGATTTATACGGCATCCGATTAATCGGCACCGATACGATTTTTGGCTGGCCGATTAACCGATTCAAGAATTTTGTAATCGTGACAACACTAATTTTCATACACAACACAGGCCAGGGTTTTTAGCGTTTTGCGAAGAAAAAAAAAATCACAGCGTCGAAATGACAACGTAAACAACCATAGCAACCACGCGCGTACGCTACACAGCATATATCTACACGGTCACACAAGTGTGTGGACATTTATCAAACATGATATGCAATTTATTTCGAACCTAGTCACTGCTGGAGTTCAAAATCATTTAAAAGGTACATAAAATACACTTACAATTTCTGTTTCTATCTTTAAAATTATCGCAGAGTGACCTCCCTTTCCAAACAGACACAATTAACCAGTCGCTTAGTGAACTAGATGGAATGGAGAGAGAGAGGGAGAGAGAGAGAGAAATGGGGTTTAACGTCCACTAGACACAAACTAGGTCATTTCGGGACTAACATATGGTTTAATTTTATTTCAATAATTCGCTTGCACGTAGGGGTCTTTAGCAGTGGGAGGAAACCGGAGGACCCGGAGAAAGGCGCCCTTATTCCTTGTCACGCACAACTGGAGATTCGAAACCACGCCAGTTGACTCAATGACAGGTCTTATGATACAGCGCACACGTGCTAACCATTCGGCCATCCAACCCACCGCAAATGGAATGGAAATGAGTGTTATCCATGGAGGTGTATATATACCTCTATGGTGTTATCTTATTACATCACGGATATTTTCATTACGTCAAAGTCAAAATTGTTTTCCTTGGTATTTACGTCATTAAAACCAAAAAACGACCGTCATCTATCGCGAAAGAAAGAATTCCAAGAAAAATGTTAAATATTTTGGGCTACAATATCGATAAACACCTCCTGTTTAGAATTTATCGGACTGTTATTGTCCATTTGATACCGCTTAAATTTGTTGGAGTTTTTACCTGTACTGCTTGTGGACGTGGACATATTTTCACGGTTGAGTTAAAATCGGACTGAAACTGAACGACAAAATGACCTCTCCACATATGCAAATAATGTAAAAGTATGTAATACCAAGACTGTGAACCCTCTGGGCTTCACAACTTTTATCCGGTTTTGATGAAACTTAAAATAGATGTTTATATCCCGAAGATCTGGGTTCCTTTCGATACTTGCGAATATCCGACCGTAACTTGCTGGATTATGGTCCCTGATTGCAGGGGTAACCCACCACTAGAAATGTCTGTCAGAGCGTCAATGTAATACCTGAAGATGAACGGTACACTGCTGTGCGATTTTCATGTTTTACACTTTTGAGCTAATCTAGCCTAGTTGGGGGGCATGGCATTTTGGGCGTGGACCACGCCCACCATCAGAAACCCGACAGACTTACATTATGATGATACCAGATATACATGCATTGATAACATATAGGAAAAAATTGGTACACTTTTCAGCTAGGTTAACCCCTGGGCTCCAGCTCTATGTTAAGGTCCGGTCCCATTGCACTTACGGATGCAAAGAGGATGTAAAACGGGGAAAAAAACGTGCCCTCCGTTTGAAAACGCCATGCATCCGTTGTGTACTCATTGCATACTCATTGCATACGTGTTTCATACGCTCTATCCATCGAGCATCCGTTCACTTTGATTTCATCCGCGCAAAAAGTTTTGAGCTGCACAAAACTTTTATAACGGATGAACTTTCTGCCGTGTACGATGTAAATGCGCGACATAATATACGAGCACCAAACGTTCCATGTCCGTTGTCATCCGTTAAATGTCCACTGTATCCTCTCTGCATCCTCTGGGCATCCTCGCAACTCACATCCGCTCCAGCTGAAAACGGAAAGAGGGGGGGGGGGAGATAAAGTACATGGAACGTCTATACATCGTTAGTAGCACGGAAATAGAAAGGATGTAAGCGTATGCATCTCGTATATAAAGTTTTCAAAATGGACAAAGCGTTTGTATCTGGGATGTATCTGGTATATTAAAGGATATCTGGAGTTTGCCTAACCCCTTCGGAGCTGTCATCCACTTCCATCCGCTAGCCTTCCGATGAACATCCATTTAACATCCCCTCTACATACTCCCACATCCGTTCTTTTCTGTTCTGTTTTCGCAAATTTTCGTCAATTTTGTCCATTTCTGGTGCGGATGAAAATGGATGGAGCCACCCCCGAAAGTTTGCTCGTCCGCTGTGTCCTTTTCGCATACGTTTTGTATCCATCGGCCTTTACCCATTGCGCCGGAATGAAAGAACTATATTTTAATGGTGTGTTGATCAGTTTATGACGAGAAAGTCATAGAAACGTGACAAGGCAGCAGTAGAACAAAATATTGAACACCATCATTTATAATATGGAGACAGATGTTGTTTTTTTTATGACAATGAAATGAAATGAAATGGAGTTTAACGTCCTACTGTTCTGCTCCTAACCTGGGCTAATGAAGACGGTTTTTTTTATGACAGATTATGTTAGAAAAGTTGTTTATGTCGGTCGTCAAACTAAGTGAATTATATTTTACATTAATTATAATTCAATACTATAAAAGAGAACGACTTTCCGGTGACTTAATAAATTAACGCTCGTGATAATCGAATTCACAAATAAATAAAACAACTCAGGAATTAGTTACCTACTATTAGAGGTTTTATTTTAAATTTCTGTACATTATTTCTGTAATAAGGCGAGCAAATGAATAATGTCATTTGATATTGTATTCATGTAAGAAATGAAATAAAGTACCAAAATAACACAACGACAGCTTATTTAGAGATGTATTGAAGATATTTTTTATGAAAAAGTTAGATTTTTACTTAAAGAGGGAATTCAAATAGATATGATACTGGGCCGCTGATAGTAATGTGTGGCATTGGGTTCCGTAAAGTAGACAAAAGATGACGTAGAGCCAAGAACAGTATACATTAGTTGTCTTCGTGCTGAAGACTGCATTAATAGACCCCTCCTTTATCTTAAATGCCAAGATACTATAAATAAAGATCGTAACATCAAATATAGTACAACGACGTTCTCCTAAATTCTGATATGACTCGTAATACTAGTGGGGTGGGGGGCGAATGGTTAAATTGTGCGCGTTGGACCATAAGGTCTGTCATTAAGTCAAATGACGAGGTTTCGATTCCCCGCTTGTACGTGACAAGGAGTAGTGTCGCCTGTCCAACCAAGTGGGTTTTCTGCGGGTCCCCCGGTTTCCTCCCATTCCTAAAGACCCCTATACGCAAGCGGATTATTGAAATTTAAATTGAACTATGTTAGTCCCGAAATGGCCTAGTTTGTGTCGAGTGGACGTTAAATCCTCCCCCTCTCTCTCTCTCGTAATACTAGTTATAGAACTGTATCTCTTCTTGTACTCTGGACTTAATAAAGACTCTACGGATTCTCTTTAAACGAGCTCTGGCTTACTAAAAGAGTCTACGGGTTCTCACTGAAAGGAGCTCTGGCTAGGCGACACTTGCATTATCACTATACTCTGAATACCGTGCCCTCTACGGACCCACTACATTAATGCTTAGTCATGTATTATCCCTTTAAATCTACTAGTTCACAACATCTATACAATAATATCTCCATTTAAAGATATCATCCAACGTTCTTTGTTATTACAAAAATTCCTGGGGAATATGACTGTTCAGGGAAAT